ACTAGCAAAAAGTTGTGTTGGGTTTTGCACCTCCGTAATTTCATCAGAAAATTCGTGGTCATCCTGTTCAGTGGACGTGGTGGGATATGCAATTCTTCCTTTTACCCAGGAGAATTCCTTTTGCTTTCATTCGCCCTGCCTCGCACGTGACGTTGATTTGAACAGATTGACCAAATCGTTGAATGGTAATATAGGTGAGGTTTACAGGTGGTCGGATAAGAAAACTGGGCCAAGCTTACACACCAATCGGCAGGCAGTCGAGAATTTCCGATTGATTATCAAGCGGACCGCAACGAAGCTGAGGTCCCTCGACTGGTTATGAAAAAACAAGGCCGGGTGCCCTTGGGCTGCATATTCCCTAATGCTTCAAGAAATGTAGATTCCATGTTCTGTTGTGTTTAATTCATTGTACGAAATTCAAACTTATTTTATCTTTAGATAAAATTCTCTATGAGTCAAAACGTGAATCATGTGGACTCTGAGCTGTGGAGATTCCTGGAGCAAGTGGAGTCAACCGAGACTGCGGAATCGACTGGGACTGATCATACGAAGTTTGCCTACCTGAGATTACCTCCAAACATGCCTCTTCACCCAAGAATCCATGGAGTGCCCTGTGTGCCCACAGAAATTCTAAAGTATCTCTTCAGATTCATAGATAAACGGTACTAACATGAAGATGAAAAGAATCTCCGTCACTGGGATTCCCTGAATCGATCGCTAACGGAATGGTATCGAAGGCGATTCGTTTCACCCTGGGCTTCTGCCTCGTGATCGGAGGGATTTCCTTGCCCCATGTGAGTGGGTGGGAACGAGAGGCAATATTGGATCCATTGGGCAAGGTGCACTTGGCATGGACGCCTCATCTCGAAACCAAGGTCATCGAGTTTGAATACACCGTCCAGACACTGGGATGGGTGGGATTGGGATTCTCTCCTACGGGAGGGATGCTCAATTCCGACGTCATCACGGCTTGGATCAAGGACGGACGAGTTTTCTTCAACGTGAGTTCTCTCAACATCTCAGAGTAGTACCGAATGCACAACCGTTGTTGATTGGAGGAATGTGTCTGACTTTGCAGGATAGACACGTACCCGTGGAGCATGAACTTCCGAGAGTAGACGATGTGTCCAATTATAATCTGATATCTGCTGTGGAAACGAACGCAACAACGATCATTCGATTCACGAGGGAATTCGACACCTGCGACCTCGAACAGGACTTCCACATCACGGTCAGTGAAACTGCACCATGCATGTCCTCGCGCAAATCTCTTCAATGGTATCATAAGAGAGAGGTTTAAAGCATTTTTCGAGGATGCATCGTCAGATTAAGTAGCTCCTATGTTCGAATTTGACACTTCTTTTTTCTCTCATGCAGGGAGATACGGTGAAAGTGATATATGCGTTCGGGGATACAGATCCAGATGGAGAGGATCCATTTTATCACGGAAGCGACAACAGGGGAACGAAATCCTTGTATCTACTCGACCCGCCACTAGGTTAGTCTGAAAATCTCCGATGATATACTGCATACAGTGTGTCTTTTCTTGTCAATGAAATGCTTATTATTAATTAGCATGATTATCTGTGTCCTGTGATGGGAATCAAATTGCAACTGATACAAAAACTCATGACATAACAGGTGATATCCCCAATGATCCGTCGATCAAGGAATGGATCGTGAGCAGCGAAATGGTTATTCCGACATTGGATACCACATATTGGTGCACCATCCAAAAGACACCCGAAGTAGACGTCACGCACCACATCATCGGCGTGAGTTTAAGAGAATCTCTCCACTTGCCACATTGTGGAAATGCTTATCAGATCCGAGATTCATTCTCGTCTGCGACCAGTACAAGCCGTACGTGAAGCCAGGGAACGAGAAGTACGTGCATCACTTGCTCATGTACGCCTGCAGCATCCCGGATGAGCTGGTGGACGTGTTCAACTCGTGGGCGGAGCATGACGGGGTCCTGTGCTACGGTCCTGATCACCCACAGGAATGGAATCAATGTCGGAGTGTCCTCATCGCGTGGGCCGTCGGCGGTGAGGTATGAAAGCCAACGATTTTTAAATTCATTTACTTTTCTTTTCCATTAGCTACCAATGCTTCGTGACTCAGTACAAAGCACTCTGTCAGACGAATAGCACTAACGGCAACGAAAACTATAAGAATTTATGTGTGTGGTGACAAAGGTAACCTATCCCCCTCTGCATAGGTCTTTTGCACCCTATGCAAGAGGGACTGGGTGGAATGTTCTTCATGATGGAAATGCATTACGATAATCCGGAAATTGTGTCAGGCATCCAGGATGACTCCGGCCTCACCGTCTACTACACGGACGTCCTTCGACCCCTGGAAATGGCAACCCTGGGAGTCGGCTCCAGCCTCCATCCCGCGTCGGTCTGTCATCGATTCTTTCCATTTTAGGGGCTTTTGGGTTTTCATTGAATCCCATCTTGTTTGTGATCTTGGCCGCGGTATGAGAATGCACTCAGAAGAGTGGTCAGTGCGAACAATTTTCTGAAAAATATGTGGTGTCATTCGTAAGCTCTTGGATAGAGTCCGCCTTTGTATCATCAGCTTTCCCTCAGAGGGATATCTTAAACGTGTCTTTTCATATGTAACGAGCTGTGGTACCAACAGTTTGAGTTAAATCGACGCCCGGCCTACCTGACCAAGTCCCCACCTACCACCAGAGTGTACGTCTAGAGTAGAAAAAAAAAAATGCGAACAAGTTGAAATTTGCATACATACTGCCGAAGAAGATTTTACGGGCTGGACAAAATGAACTCGCGGGCCCGATCCGCCCTGGCAGTTTGATGGCTCTGTTCTACATCACCATGAGTTACTTATGATGATCAGCTGTTGAATGTTAAATATTTTTTGTGTTTGCAGTTGCAGGAAATAAGGATAATTAGGAATGCCTTGGTATTTTTTTTCCCTCCTAGCTAAGTCCTGTACAATCAGTGTAATCACTGAATTAAGAGTATACTCTGGCAAACGGAGCTTACGTGCAACAAACTTTAAGTTAAAAAAAATACATGTTATTGGATTAATAGTAATAAACTTGAGTGCGATACTAGTCCAGTATCAGCACCAGACAAACAAACACCGGCCCGCTTAGTGCTTGAAACAGAGCAATAGAGTCTATTGGGGTCCTTCTGTTTCGGTATTCATGAATGTCGGCCTGTGCAACCCCAAATGTACCGAAATCGCCTTCCCACCCGAAGGGATTCACATCTTCTCCGGCTTTCTCCATTCTCATTTGCTCGGTGAGTCTCTTCGATAATATTCAAACCATTCCCACTTCGTTGAGATGCTACCTTTGGGGAATTCTGAAATCCACTCTTGAATACAGGAAAGAGAATGCGAGTCCGGGTGTTCCGAAAAGGCGAGGAATTGCCCTGGCTGCAAAATGACGACAATTATGACTTCGATTATCAACAGGTCCGAGTCTTTCGAGAACACATCACCCTTTATCCTGGAGATCAACTCATCATGGGTTAGTTCTTTGTCAGTGGGACTTCTCTTGGGCAGTGATCAATGTTTTTGTCGAATCGAGACCAAGTATTTATTTTAATATGCAGAATGCGACTATGATTCGTCGAATCGGGACTCGGTGACCGTGAGTGGTTTCGGAACAACGGAAGAGATGTGCATGGGTTTCTTCCAGTATTACCCTGCCATGAACTTTCCTGTCTGCATGAGTTACCCCCATTTCGAGAGCATCTTCTCTCTGTTCGGCATCACTGACGTCTGGCTCGACCCGTATGCTGTTTCCCTCCCCTGCCCTATTTTGCAATTCGTCTCCCATTCAGACATTCAATTGCGGAAATTGATTTCCTTTCTGACAGGGATGGAGGCTATGAATACATGGTGTCGGAGGACCAGACCCTGGTGGACTATCTGAACGAGTTTGACTGGTCGGGCATCAACATGGAAGGCTTCCAACATCTCCTTCGTTACGAACCTCATTATACGCTATGCTTCAACAATCAGGGGGATCTCACCGTCGTAAGTCTTCTTTTCAATGTCCCTAGAAACCTGTGCGACGTTAAATTTGGGTTCCGTCGAATAAGTAGTTGGGGCATTTTACAAATTGGACTAACTTAACTGTAAGGTATCGATAGTCATGTGGTTCCTTAAGAATGACGTCGTCGGGGTAGCTCGTATTCCAGGTTTACCATTATGATGGCTTGCAAAGTGCATTTAGAGCCTCCCCCTCCTTAGGAAATAAAACTAAAAGGTAAAGTCGGAACCTTAGTCTGCTGCTCGATAGGGCTTCCGCACCTGAGGACCTACGGAGGGCCTGCTCTTACAGGTAGACCGTTTACTTTGAAAAGGGGACACTTCCCGTGTTATTGGAAAAATTCTAATTCCTGCATTTTCTCTTGCCTTCCTTTCTCTCATTTGCGCATCTACACGTAATTAATTATTTAAAAAAAAGCCTCATTGGCGAGGCTAACATTCTTTCAGGTATGCACCTTGCCTACTAACCTAAAGTGGATAAAGCTGCCCCTGGAAGCGCAGATAAAGTAGTAAGCAGAATATTAAGATTCATTTAATATAATATATATTATAATAATATAACACATTTAATAATATAATAATTTAATAATATAACACATATGCACGTACTGACAATTTTTCGATTTTCGGGTTCTTGGTCGTTCCTCTTGTTTTTCCTGGTTCAATGTGACCATCTCTACTCGCTTCGTTACTCTGCAGTAGTATTTCCCCAGCTCATCCTAAATATGAAGGAGATTCACAGCCTATGGTTCCAGACTTAAGGGGCAGCCTGTGGAGTCTGTATACATATTCTTTGGGTTACTACAGAAATGTAACTTTTTTTTTAAATATAAAACTCATCTAAATTCTGACAAACGCTTATAGAAATATCTCTAGAGGCTGTCTTAAAAAAGTTCCTCCTGGTTGACTCCTTTCTTTCGTGTTATTCGGATGTGAAAGCGGATCAGCAGGAAACTCAGCAGATCATAGAGCTGAACGAGACCCCAAACTTGAATACATAAGCATACATAAGCTGTGTCCTCGGTCCATTTCAGCGTGGCCCGTGATTCTGGCATGAGTATCGCCAGATGATGCAGGGAATGGATCACCAGAGAGAGGGAATGAATCACGGCCAGTCATCACGGTCGTAGCCGTGACTCCGATTTCGAATAGTCAAAGTTTAGAAATTGACCTTTCTGAAAAGGTTGCATATTGAATTCTTATAGCCGAAGCCCTTAATCCGATATGGTTTACTTCGTCCCTGGTTCTTAATTTTACCCTCAATTGGTATTGTGGGGTCACAAGAGTCGATGATTGAGGATGGGGCTTGCGATCAATGCATCCCATTTCACATTACATTAGGACCTCTGTCGTGGGAGTTTCATGCCTAACTTCACTGCAGTGAAGTTGAAAATTTTAGTAGGTTCAACTGCAAAAAGTTAGTCACGATAACTTGAATTTTCATTCCAAAACACTTCATTTTTATTTAGATTTATTGTAGGGCCAAGTTGACCGCACGAAATCAGTTGAGGGTTAAAGGCCTTTCCCAGTTCTTCTGCCTCTCCTATTCCGCGATACCATTTGATTCCCAGGAAAGCAGATTCCCATGGTTGACCATGACTCCAGTCACCGTCCAAATACAGTCGACGCTCGATATTAACGAAATCGACGGGACAGGCTAAAAAAAAATCATTAGGAAAATTCTTTATATCGTTCGTCGCTCGATTGACAAGGAAGCAATGCCGCTCACCTCTCTCTTTCCTGAGAGCAACCACTAACTTTTTCTACTAATTTGGAAAGTACTCTCCCTCATTCGTTTCGCACTCTTATTAAAAGATATGGATTTTGCTCTTATGAAGAGGTAGCTATTGATTGCACTTCCTCGTTTTTAGGGAGTAAAACCGCTAACTCCAGTTTCGCTCCCTTTCTCGGAAATCGACTGTTTTCCAAGAGTGTACTCGAAGAGGACAAGCTAAAAAATGCCTTATTTAGACGTTCGTTATATGGAGCGTCGACTATAATACCGTCGTTGAATCTTACTAATAACACTTCTGGCTGCGTGGCGCGACTGACCTATATTTTTTCCATCGCAGACAACAAGATGAGGTGGAGGAGGCGTGGACAGTATCAGACAACCAAACCGCACAAACGATATTGCCTATTCATTGTAAGATTCTCCTCGAGTAATTTTGAGACCGACGAGAGGCTGAAAATGCATTTGATAAAAATATTTAAATCTGATACTGTAAGGCACCATAAGTGGAAGGAGGGGGAGAGGGAAGTGAGCCAGAAAAGAGCCTGGGGGCACGAGAATGCGCCCAGGAACTTCTCGGTGGGGAGAGGCAGACTTGGCTAGTTTCGCGGAGTTCCCTTTCGTCTGGTGGTGGATGGATATAGCTTTATTATTACGGCTTTCTTCTCTTGTCCTCTTCCCTCGGCGGATTATTTGCAAACGCCATCTCTTACGAATGAGTTCTCTGTTCATTCGCCCTTTCTTCATCCCATCTCAGGTCAGTGCAGCATGATGCCGAGTGTCGTTCGGGCAGAGTATTGTTCTCGCCCTAACGTCTCTCTGACATCGGCCAGGGCCTCTAACAGGCCTTGCCCGATGCCCTAGTCACAGAAGTCAATTCAATCGATCAAGAAACGGGAAGGTGGTTCTCGAGCCTCGAGCTTCTCGTCGCCCGGCAATTTGGATTCGATACTCTCTTGAAATAGGCGATTAATCGCGTGCCACCCAAGGGAACGGCGAGAGAAGACCGAAAATCTGCCCAATGAGAGCATCGTACCGAGAACGCTATGGCCGGTGGCGAGCCGACTGATAGGCGTGGATGCAGCATGACGGGGACCGACGCACCCAGAAACATCGGATTGCACGGTCTCAGTAGCCAACTTATCAATCGTCAACTTGGGAGCAACAGTGAGTATCGCAGTCCTGATTATCCTGGGCGACGACTGAGCCAGTGTGGAATATCTGAGTCGAACTGATTATGCTGGTTTTGGTTCGTCTGGGTCACCCTCAAGGGAAACCCCTGTAACATGGTTGGACCCGCGATACTACGGCCTTCCGCATCACTTGGGTCATACTCGCGACGTGGACGCGCGAACTATTGAGGACTGGAGACCGAAAATCTTATCGGAAATTCTTTCTGACTGGAGTATGCAGAATTAGTTCGGAAAAAAAGAGATTAAAGGTGGGAAAAGTCGATCAACGTCATTGGTTTCCGTTTCCTTGCTCACCCGAAAGTTCTCTTTTGGGGCCGATGAAAAACTACTTGGAGCTCTTCGTAAAAGTTTATTAGTAAGTTATTCTCCATCTGCTCAGGATAGAACATGCACTGCAGAAAAGGTAAATGAGTTTTCTTCACTTCAAATACCTTGCACTTACTTTACATAAAAATACCTCTTTCTAAATTTCGGTAGAATGCGAAATTTTCTGGACGTCACAAGTGGGTCGCGATTAAACTCTTACCCCATGATACACGAGCAGAGCGATGCTAAAACCAGCTCATCGATGAATATATCAGGAGTGCGAAAGGAACACTTTTTCGTTTTCTTTTTGCGATTACCGTTCCCACACAAAATGTCACCATAGAATTTCTTGCCCGAACGCAGCACACTCTCGGTAGGATTCGGGAGTCAGTCTTGGCAAGTAAGTACCTGATGACCCTCAAATAAAACCACATCACGGAGGCAAGAGGAAGTCTCACTCGTCGATCGGTCTGGTGGTTTTCACTCAAAGGTATCTACGAACAACTCAATCAGCTTTAGAGTTCGATATTTGATTTGGTAAAAGTAGCTCCTCTACTATCCCGAGTCTTTAATCTTCATGTTGCTGAATTGTTGAGTTTTACTATTGTGGATGTGGAAGATTTGACAACTTCACTTCAGTGTTCCGTTTATTAAGATTAAGTGTACGTTGGCAGAAAACTTACTTCTTTGCCTTCATAAGTGACAGACCTGGAGTAGGGAGTAATAGGGTTGTGCCCATCAATGAAATTTCGACATGTCGTAATGTATTAGAAGAATACCTTCTTTGAATTTAGGACTCATCACACAGAATGGAAAAAATATAAAATGCAGGAAGCCATAATAATAACGATCCATAATAATAAAATCCATAATAATAACGAAATATGGGCGGTGGAAACCATCGAGAAAGTAGGAAACGTTGAATTACTGGTGTTTTTGTGCAAATCTCTTCGGATTTCTGAGAAGGTAGATCACACACGCAGCGGAATGATTCCCTGGGAACGGAGCATTGTGCTGAGACAAGGGCATCTATACCCTCATTATTACATACATTCATTATGTTGAAAAAATAATGGATGATGCATTATTTCCCACACCTCCCTCCTCCTCTTACGAGAAGCCGGGAACCGAGCGCCGAAGGAATCCCGGGGAGGAGGAAGAAGGTGTGTACCCAATAACGCATGGGTGAGGCGCGGTTGGGGAATCGAACCCCAACCTCCCGGACGGCACGCGGACGCTCTGCCTGTAAGGCCGTTTCCGCCGGTTGAAAGGAAGCTTGCGTGGTAGAAAGACTAGTTTCTAGACGGTCCAAGGAAAAAGCAGCCTCGGGGCATAAGAGAAGGAGTCGACGCAAAGCCAAACGATACCGCTTCCACTAAAGGATTGTGGAAAGCCTCTCCATTCGGATTCACCGTCAAATGCTCTTCACGCTACATGTGGGATTTTCATCGAGGTGTTCGCATTTGCGGTGAAGGTCAACAGCTCATCTCAGGTCAGATGGTCTCTTTCATATAATTGGTATAATAGTTCGATCATAAATTTCGCTTATCGGTAAGGAATATGTACTTGACACGGCGAGAGATATTCTATGGACACATGGACCAGTTTGCTGCATACGAGTGTCTCCCTTGTGCGTGCACGCCTCTACGTTTCAACGGTCTAAAATTGGCCCTATACGAGTCGAGTCGAGTTTTAGGTGGGGTTTTTATGCGGGCAATGTCCTTACCGTTGTTCTCGTGTCTTGTTTCAATCCC